AATAAAAAAATAAAATCTTAAAAAAAAAAATAAAATAAAATAAAACAATTTTTGTGTAGGAAACCAAGGTATCAGAATGACCAGGAAGCATGCTACTGCATTTCCTAAGACCTTAGCAAGAGCACTGGGTGAAGCAGAGAGGGGTAAGGGGCAAGGCTTTGGAGTCAGACACATCTGGGCTGGAGCCCCAGCATCTCCGCTGACAAACATTGTGACCCTGGGCCAGTTATTTAATCTCAATAAGCCTTAATCTTCCCACCTGTATAATGGAGACTATAATACCTATTTTGGAGGATTGAAGTAAGGATTAAATTAAAAAATTAAGAAATGTATATAGAGTTCTTGGCACAATGTCTGGCATAGAGTACATACAAAATCAAACTTTTTTTATTAAAATGATGTCTGGCACATATAACTCAAAGTGATTCACCATGAAACAGAGGTATATCATTTGAGTCTCTGAGCCTCTATCCTCAAACTCTTTTCCAACTGCTTGCTCATCTTTTCTTACTCAGCTCATGGATCCTCCCATCTCTCCCTGCCCCTGACTCTCAGCTCTCAAAAAAAAAGAAAGAAAGAAAAAAAAAAAAGAAAAAGGAGGACATACAGAAAAACCCTCTATTAAGACATTTGGCAAAAAGGCTTGTAATCGTATGTTTATTTTAATTTCATTTTGCTGTCTTCCAAAACACAGGGCTGTGCAGAACCATGCTTCTGTTTGCCTCCTGGGCGTTTGTAGTCATTCAGTGGTAACATGAAATGCACAGTCCATTTAGAAACAAACATCTTTTTGTCTTTATTGCTGGGTTTGTTTGTGATGTCTGAATGAGCCGTTTAAGTATATGTTTGTATAGCTACTTATCAAGTGTTTTATACTGGGTAGAAAAAGAAGGTAGAAATGGCTATTATGTAACTCATGGTTTGCAATGCTGCCACAGAGTAGAGCTTGGGAAGTTAATGATGGAGGAGAGTGACTCTCACCTTTACATTATCTGTCCACAATGGTGGGCCACCAGAGGAGACAGCACAGTGGACAAGGGAAAGATCAGTTACCATGTGTTCAGCCCGAATGTAAGCCAAGACATAGGGTGATCTCAGTGAGAAAGAAGACCAAATGGTGGGTCACGGGAGACCCATGATTCTGGTACCCAAGACCGCAGTTAGTTGGAGTGCCAGTAGGACAAGGGGTGTGTGTGTGTGTCCAGAGTTGAAGAAGGTAGAGACAAAGCTTGGAGTACTTACAGGGTGGGGTTGTGAAGGGACATGGCATGTGGCTTACCTGTCCCTGCTAGCCTGGGGGTGGCCTCTGAAAGGACAGACCCCGACTAGACAAACCGTATGTTCCAATTCAGTGTTTATCAAAGGTATCTGAAATCATTTGATGAACTCTGCCCATGTCCCACTGATATGATGGTTATGCTGGGGGGAAATACTCAGTTGTGGTTTTGGGTGCCATATGAGTCTTTGTTATTTATTGGAAGGAGATATAATGAAAGTAGAGGGGAAACAAATTTTACAAATATATATATATATATGTGATTCAATAGCATCGTGTATAGGGCTGCTTGCCTACAATTTTTTTTTTTTCACTATTAGGAAATAAGGTCAGATAGGATTCTTCTCATATTCTGGTTTTGCCTTTGCAGTGTGTGTATGTCTCTGAGCAGTATTATTTTTCTCAATCAGAGTATATCTTTATAACACTTCCAAATGTGTTAAATGTACTTTTAGAGGTGCCAGATGTCCTGTTTTCCTCTCTGGGGGAATGCCTGTGTATTCTATCAAAGTTCCCAGAGGACAGAGTCCCTTAAACACCAAATAATAATAATAACAACAGTAAAACCCGTAAGTATTCCAAACGCCAGTCACACCTGAGCAGAGAATCATTATCCGGTGTGCATGTGGACAGTGAGATCAAAGAAAGGAAAAGCTAATTCTGTGTCTTAGTCTGAGGGGGCAGTGAAAAGAGATTGAGAAATAAATGGTAAAAAAGACAAGAAAGGAATACTAAATATTTTGTGTGGTTTTTCTTCTTTTGCAGTTCTGTTCTGACCCCAGAGTGGATGATGCAGTCAGGGCCGAACCACTGATTGGAGTCTGAAGAATTCCCATCTTCACGTTGGCCATCTGTTGAGATAAGATGCAAGATTCTTACAAGGATAGGACTTCATTGATGAAGGGCGCCAAGGACATAGCCCGAGAGGTGAAGAAACAAACAGTAAAGAAGGTGAATCAGGCAGTGGACCGGGCCCAGGATGAATACACGCAGAGGTCCTACAGTCGGTTCCAAGATGAAGAGGACGATGACTGTTCCCCGCCGGGAGAGACCTATAATGGGGAGGCCAATGATGATGAAGGCTCCAGTGAAGCTACTGAGGGTCATGATGAAGATGAGGAAATCTATGAAGGGGAGTATCAGGGCATCCCCCGTATGAACCAAGGGAAGGACAGCATTGTGTCAGTGGGGCAGCCCAAGGGGGATGTGCACAAGGACCGGCAGGAGCTGGAGTCAGAGAGGAAAGCCGATGAGGAAGAACTAGCCCAGCAGTATGAGCTGATAATCCAAGAGTGTGGTCACGGCCGTTTCCAGTGGGCCCTTTTCTTTGTCCTGGGCATGGCCCTGATGGCGGACGGCGTGGAGGTGTTTGTTGTCGGCTTCGTGTTGCCCAGCGCGGAGACAGACCTATGCATTCCAAATTCAGGATCCGGGTGGCTAGGTGAGTGCACCGTGTCCGTGAGACAAATTCTGAACCTGGATTATTTGTTGAGCACAGTTAACAAATAGAATAGATACTTTTCATCTAGAGCAGTGCATTTTTTTCCCAATACTTTTTTTTTTTTTAGATTTTTTTATTTATTTATTTGAGAGAGAGAGAGAATGAGACAGAGCAAGCACATGAGAGGGGGGAGGGTCAGAGGGAGAAGCAGACTCCCCGCCGAGCAGGGAGCCCGATGCGGGACTCGATCCCGGGACTCCAGGATCATGACCTGAGCCGAAGGCAGTCGCTTAACCAACTGAGCCACCCAGGCGCCCCTCCCAATACTTTGTTATGAAAAATTTTAAACATACAGAAGAATCAAAAATATTGTACAAGGATGCCCATATATATCTGCCACCCAGATCCTATAGTTAACATTTAATACCATATTTTCTTTATCATCTATCCATCCATCAATCCAACTTATAACATTATGCATTTCAAAGTTAGGGCAATAGATTTTAACTTACCATACTATAAATGTTTTATCGGTTTCTCCTTTATTAACATCCAAAGATATGCCTTTGGAAGTTAATAAAACTATTATATGAAAACCTATTTGAGTACTTTCCTAAATATAGAGGTTAATCTATAAAACTCTGGCAAATGTGATTTCAAATTTCAAATTTTATGTGTAATACTATGATTTAAATACTTTGGGGACCCTGCTAATTTTTTTTCTATAATCTATGTGTATGTTTGCTTGTTTATTTTTTTTAGTTAGTCTTATTCATAGATTTTCTCTAGATGACTTTTTCTTTTTCAAAGTTCATGCCTTTGTGCCTAAACTGGAAAAACCTCCTCATATGATTTTAAAGTCTCTTTCAAATCCTATTAATATCTAAATTATATGTGTAAAAATAATATGACCTCTCTATAAAATATCTAATCTAGATAGCATGATTTTTGTTTTAAAGTTACCATGGGGCACCTGGGTGGCTCAGTCGGTTAAGCATCTGACACCTGATTTTGGCTCAGGTTACGATCTCACGTCGGGCCCAGTGCTGGGCGTGGAGTCTGCTCGGGATTCTCTCTCTCTCTCTCACCCTCACTCCACCCCTCCCCCTGCACATGCTCGCGCACACTCTCTCTAAAATAAATAAGTAAATTAATTAATTAATTAAATTAAACAAAATTAAGTTACCATGCCCTCAAGGTTCACTTTGTTACGAAGCCTTAGTTAACATTCCCACTTATTTCCCTCGCTTGATCTCGCCACCCTGATCATGACCTGAGCTGAAATCAAGAGTTGGACTCTTAACCAAGTGAGCCACCCAGGCACCCCAAAATGCCATTTTCTAAGCTGCTCTGTGATGTCGTGAGAGAGATAATCATGAATGAGAAAAGGATCTTATTCTTTTAATAGTTGTTTCTTTATATGACTTCCTCCTAGCATCTCTTTCTTTAGCCAATTAACTGAGTGAGATAGATCCATGGAAGCAGAGTGTGAGGGAGAGGGGGTGGGAATGGGGCATATTTTGCATGTTTTTGCTGGTAGACTCATCTATGTGTTCAGCCATCAAAATGCAGAACATGATTCAGAGGAGGGTCCTTAGTCATTTGTCAGATTGATCATTTCAGTGTATCGCTTGTGTATCTAGCACTGTATTTTGTCTTTGGTTTTTTCTTTTGGTGAGCAGATATAACTATTGTAAGCCTTGGCATCAAAATATTGATCAAGATTTTGCAAAAGGAACACATCAGCAGAACATTTTAAGAAGCTAGATCCTTAGAAATACATCCACACACATATTTAATAATTGCAAGGTTGATTTTAGGACAAACATCTTTTCACGTTGTGATCTTAGCTTTTATATTGGAAACATTTCAGGAAAATCTAAACTAAGCTTGCCCTTGTGCCTCTATCTTCTTGGTGCTGAATGGAAGCACAGTATTGCCCATGGTTCTCTTATTAGTCAGTCCATCCCAGAAACCTACAAACCCTGATGATGTTAACACACCCCTAGGTGGCACCCAGAAGTGTAGAGAATGCTGTGGAACAGTCGAAGCCCAGATATTTTCATCTTTCCATAAATGTTGACTGCTTTAGTGAATTAAAAATGTGTCCCCAGGAGTGTATGGTTTCACTCAACGTTGCGAGCCCTCAGCAGAAGCATTTTAATGGTTTCATAACTGTGCCTTCCGGACTTGCATTTCAATTATTTTGCCATTGTAATTTCACTTATAATTGCATTCTAACAGAGTTTTTTTAGACAGGCATTTAAATTGTTTTGCCATTTTCATTTCATCGAATAATAGCTTTGTAATATAATTAGCACACTAAGTCACAGCAGTGGGATCAAAATACAAGAAAGATGCATGACCCATGTTTGGGGGTATTTGGGGGATATAGATTTGCAAAATAATTTCTCATTTGCTACTGAGCATTGTGTCATTTTCTCAAGGAAGACCAGGAATGAAAAATATGAACCAATTTATGTCTCAGTTATTTGGGAGATAGATCATCTCTTGGTGTTTGCAAGATGATTGACTTAAAGGGAGTTAAGAGCATCCTGTGTGTGCATGTGTCTATGTGTATGGTCTGTGTATTTATATAACATTGTTAATGGGCTGGGAGAAAGAGTAAATATTTAATTATCTAACAAGCTGCTCTTTGAGAGGGTAAGTGCAGTCACTTTAAGATAATCCATGTTTTATTGCCGAAGTGTATTTATTGAGCACTTATTATGTGCACAGCACACTGTTACGACAGGTGATAATAGGACAAATAAGGACAAGGTTTCTGTATCCAAAGAAGTTACGGTCTAGTACGGAGAACTCACAAATGCCTGCAGGTTAACGGTACAAAGAAGCAAGTATCGATAGCTGGAAGAGAGGTGTAAATAAAGAGACTTGAGGCTGAGAGACCACTGAGGGGTTAGGACCTCACCAACGCGGTGGGGAAAAGGCAGGGATTTAAGAAAGGCAGGGTTCCAGAGGGCGGAGTCAGCAAGGATTGGTCCTCGATTAAATCTGATGGTGGAGCAAGTGGACAGTTGATGAAAAGAAGGCGATTCATCAAACTGAGTAATGCAGAGGACAGGTTTTAACATGAGGAAGAGGGATGAAGGGTTGGCTTTAGACTTCTCACTATGAGATCCTTGGGGGTGTCCAAAGAGCCCTGTGGGCTGCTCTCCATTTGGGCTGAAGCACAGTTGGTTTGTGAGCCATCTCATTTACGATGACCCTGCCAGTGACCTTAACCAGGGGGCCGGTGCTGTCCTGCAGAATGCTGTTTACTGGGCTGGTGGTGAGGAGGAGGACCAGGAAAGAGAAGCCGGAGCAAGAGGAGCGGCCAGGAGAGCGGGGAGGCCTGGAAGTTGCAGGGAAAGGAAGAGATGTGGAACTCTTGGGTGCTGCAGGGTCATGCCGGTAAGGTTGCAAAGGATCTCTCGGTTCAGGCATTGAAGAAGTTCTTGGCTGTGCAAATGGCTCTTGAGACGAACCTAGTGAGCAAGGCTAGGTGAATAAAGGGTTCGGTAGCTAAAGAACAGCACAGATTTTTAAACATCTTATCTGGAATATCAGTGACTTCAGCTGCCACTCTGGTGTTATAATAGGTTCTGTGTTGAATTAAGCAGTACGTATGCAGTGGCTTTATGTGGGGGGCGTGGCCCAAGGCCCTTTAAGGGAGATTGAGATGAGTAAGGATTGGTTCCTATTATCAAGGGAGATCGTGGTATTTCCCAGCTGTCGGTGTCTTAGGGATTTAGGCAGACCCTGTCATCTTTTTTTTTTTTTTTTAATTTGATTATGTTATGTTAATCACCATACATTACATCATTAGTTTTTGATGTAGTGTTCCATGATTCATTGTTTGCATATAACACCCAGTGCTCCATGCAGAACATGCCCTCCTCAATAGCCATCACCGGGCTAACCCATCCCCCCACCCCCTCCCCTCGAGAACCCTCAGTTTGTTTCTCAGAGTCCATAGTCTCTCATGGTTCCAGACACTGTCATCTTAAAAGTGAGGGGAGGAGCCCTGGGCATGTGGGCGACTTGCCTAGTCCAGGGCTGTGTATTGGGAGAGGCAGACTGTGGAACACACATCCTAGCTCCTCATCCCATGTTCCTTTCCAGTTCTCTAACATTTTCATTTGAAATCCTCTCGATTGGGTTTACTCCTAGGAGAAGACAATATTCTCAATTACTGGCAGAAATATACCACTCTGGTGTCTCAAGAGATGATCTAAAATTCACTTTTTGTTTGTGGACTCCAACAGTGTAATCACCTGTTGGTATTCGATCTTTTTTGTCCTTTTCCAAAACCCTAATAGAGGATATTGCCTGGTTTTGCTTTTTGTTTTCTGTTGTTGTTGGTTTTTTTTGGTGTGCGTGTTTATAGACAGTACATAATGGCAGCAGTCACAAATGAGAATTAACATGTGAAATCAGCCCATAGTACAAAGTCATCTTAAAGAGGCAGAGTAGTAGAAGTTAAAATAGAGGGAATGTAAACCCCATGGGTCCAGGGCTTTTTGTCTGTGTTGTTAACTACTGTCTCTCCCCTACCCAATCAGTTCCTGGTACTTAATAGAATCTCAACAAGTATTTGAGATTTGAGATGACCGTCTGTGAGATTATTAACACTTTGAGACCTCACTGAAGATACTGATATATCTAAAGTAAGAATGTGTTGTTTCGAATGGGACTTCGTGGCTGGTCGTGGAAGACCAACAGGAGAGAAAGTTGGATGCAGGTGTTGACAGTGCCCTCCTAAATGCCGCCAGGGTTGGTATGCCCTGACCGAAAAATTTTACCCTATGTGTTTTTGGGACCACATCTATCCCTATTTTAAGGAAGACCACATTAGCCTGGAGTCTGGGAAGACATGACTCCTGTAGCAAAGACCTTTCATTCTAATTCCATGCTCCATAACACTTTAAAGATTTCAAATTGAGCTTTATTTAGGGTTTTCCCATCAGGAACGTGCTTGCCAAAGGATGCCAGTCTTG